ATCTCTTGACCTCGTGATCCACCCGCCTCGGCCTCCCAAAGTGCTGGGATTACAGGCTTGAGCCACCGCGCCCGCTGAAAAGTTATTTAACTTAATTTTTGTTTCAGTATCTCTGATTTCAAAAAATGGAAAAATGCAAGCACTGGTAGTCTAAGAAACAACCAGAAACCATAACAAAAGTATTTTTGTAGAAAGAAAAATGTGCCACACATAGACAATGAATATTTTCTTTTTTAAATGGAATTTCCTATTTACTAAGTTGAATTTCCTAAAGGTGAATTTTAATAATCTTCAATTTATTAAGTATATAGTTGGTACTTTTGGTGCCATATTATTAATAACAGACTTTTTTGGATTTTTTTCAGACTATTCAAAAGTTCATCTAACACAGTTGTTGGAGAAGGCTGAAGTGATTGCAGGACGTATGCTTAAGTTTTCTGTTTTTTATCGTAATCAGCACAAAGAATATTTTGACTATGTTCGGTAAGATTCAAAAATATATAGTGATTTGTTTTACTAAATATAGTTAAAAATTCTAGGCTCAGGTTTCCCTCGACTCTAGTTCTGTCAAATAGCAATTCTAGCTTTTTCAAAATAATTACATGGGTTTTTATTTTTCAGAAAAATTAAGCAGAAAAAGATGATGAGATTTTTTTTTTTCTACTTCACTTAGATTCTTTTCCATAATCATTTCTGATACCACTTCCTGCCCAATTGACTAGAGGATCTTAAACCTATAATATTTAGATTGATGAGCATTTCATTTTCACGCTTGTCCTGCCATCTACATCATACTTACTACTATTTTTTTCCTCTTTTTGTGGGTCTTTTTAAGACATTGAAAATGAGAGGATAAAAGAATGACTGTTTCATGAAATATTATGGTGAATCAGGTGGGATTCACAGACTTCTACCTAAATAGAAGTCTTTTCGCTGTTGTATTAGTGTGTTTTTCAGCCTGCTGACAAAGAGATACCTGAGATTGAGCAATTTACAAAAGAAAGAAGTTTATTGGACTTACAGTTCCATATGGCTGGGGAGGCCTCACACTCTTGGCAGAAGGCAAGGAGAAGCAAGTCACATCTTACATTGATGGCAGCAGGCAAAAAGAGAGCTTGTGCAGGGAAAAAATCCCCTTTTTAAAATCATCAGATCTCGTGAGACTCATTCACTATCACGAGAACACCCAGTGCAGGAAAGAGACGCCCGCATAATTTAATCAATTTCCACCAGGTTCTTCCCATGATGTGGGAATTGTGGGAGTTACAATTCAAGATGAGATTTCAGTGGGGAAACAGCCAGACCATATCAGCTGTTATCAATTATTATGAGGCTAATCGCTTTTGTTTCCTTTTGAATTCTAGTGATTTTACTAGAATTTCCAAGATAGCCTATGTTTATCCCTGGAAGCAGTTCCCAAGATGTTAAAAAAACTCTATCATGAGGTAGTTTTTATACTTACAGCACTTTCATATTTGTAGAAGAACATTTGAAGAGAATAAATAGCCAGATGTATATTTTGAAGTAAGACTAAGGCTTTTAAAATGGCAAATGCTATATAAGATGTAAAACTTCTACACAGCAATCTCTATAATTTGTCATTTTAAAAGCCTCAATTCAGACTCTAAAGGATCCTTGACAGGACTGTATATGAAAAATATTTAAGAAACTTTTCTGTTCTTTGTGTTTCTTTCATTCTTCTCTAGTTTCTGTTAAATGAAGACCATGGTTCCAGATTTAAATCAGCTTCAAGCTGTGGAAAATGCAATGGGAATCAGAGAGAAGAACACACGTAGTCATCTGTGTTCTTCAAATTAAGTACTTAGCAAGAGAATATATTTTTATGCATTTTGATGGTGAAAAATATTCCTGCCATTTGTTTGAATATCTTATAAATACAAAGTTTAGTCCTTCATTTTCTCAATTGGTACATACCCTAGAGTCCATATAATTTCTGGTAGATACCTACTTTCACCTAATTTAGAGAGTAGAGATTGATAGACACAACATAAATTATTGTGCTTGTCAATTTTGGATTGGCAATGACCATATAGACTCAGCAAGGGAGATGTTTATGCAGATGCTCCTTGACTTCCCAATAAACTCACTGTAAGCTGAAAATACCAAGTTGAAAATGCATTTAATACACCTAATCTATAAAACATCATAGCTTAGCCTAGCCTCCTTAAACATTTTCAGACCACTTATATTAGCCTGCTATTGGACAAAATCATCTAACAGAAAGCCTATTTTATAAAAAAAAGTGTTGAAAAGATCAAAATTCAAAGTACAGTTTCTACTGAATATTCATCACTTTCACACCATCATAAAGTCAAACAATTGTAAACCAAACCATCATAAGTCAGGAACTGTCTGTATATGCATACAACTAAAAAAAAACTCCCTATTGCTGTTGTCTTTAGTAAAAGAAATACATCAAAAGAATAAATAATTACATCTTTTATTCTAGGTTTATATTCCTGGAACATTGCCACTGTCTATTTTAGGTGGCCACTGGAGGGCAGTATTTCTTTATGATTTTTCTCTGTCCCTTCAATGGGAACTGGCCTTTGTTTTTAGGTCCTTCAGTAATCTAAAGTTTGGTTCATGTGTTTTCAAAAATGCTTCCAAGAATAAACAAAGATAAAAGAGTGCCTAGAAAATGGATAATTGTTGTGTATATTGCCTGATTTTACTCCCAGCTATCAGTATGAAAGCTGTGTTTACTCACTAGAAAAGTTACCTTTGTTAAGTTTTCCATAATGATAGTTATAAAATCCATGTAAACTATGTCTTAATGCAGTATGTATAAATAAATATACTTTCCACAGTGCGGTATAATTTTTCAACATTGCTTTTTAAAGAAGCCTTATTAAAAAGTAGTAGACATTAATTCCATGGATGTTGATTTTCTTTTTGTCATTAACTCTAATTAGGACACATTTCCTTGATTGAAATCCATTTTAAATATCATCTTGTTATTCAGAATGCTTGAATAGAAAGGAAACTTTCGATTACTGGATAAACTTTCCAACATTTATAATCCATTTTAAATTATGAAAAACTGGATAAATTCTTAGTTCATAAGGAATGAACTCATTTTGACCTCTTCCTATAAAAATGAATTCCTAAATGGGCATTGCTTTCCCATACTCCAAACAAAAATACTACTTTCTCTCTTACCCCTTGTTCAGATTCACTAGGTAGTCTAATTGTCCTTGAAACTCCTTTTATATCTGAAAGATTTCAGGAATTCACTGAGATTGGTAGACATGTGTAGGAATGTCTCTAATTCTGGTGTCAGATTGTATATTCCCAAAATGCAGGTTCTAGTACACATTTTCTGTTTATATATTTGTTGCTGTTATTATTTCATGTAATTGCACTAATAGATCCATGTAAGACACATATAATATAGATATTTGTGTTTTGTTAATCAGAATGTAACAAGGGCAAGAAATTTTGAACAGGGACAAGATGGAGTAGACACTCTTTTCCCTATTTCTCCCACTAAATACAACTAAAAGCACTGGACATTATATATAAAATAAATATCAGAAGACTAAGGGGGAAAGAAGATGTATCAGTTAGGGACCTTTGGGATTCAACAGCACAGTGGTGAGTTCCTTGGGTTTTCTTTTAACCTCTTATATTCTGGACTAGGTGCTGGAGTAGCTGGCAACACAGACATGCCAGTGGGCACAAACAAACAAAAAAAAAGAACACCAGAAAGTATGTTTGTTTACCCACAGGATCAGGAAAGAAACTGAGATGTCTTCAAATGCAGAAACCTTTTGGACAATAACTGCCATACTCCAGGCAAACACTGTAGGAAAAAACAAACAAACAAACAAAAACCTGTAGTCCCCCATCTACCAGTCAAGGCTAAGCAGGGAACCTAGACCTCTACCCTCTCACGTCTATAAGGGGACACTCTTCTCCCTCCACCGTCTGCTAGAGTGGTATCAGAGAAGCCTGAATAGGGAGACTGGATTTTCCACCATTGCCCGGAGACAATGAGGGTTGCCTTCATAGTTTGTGAAACCTACATGACAAGTAGTAATGAGACACCCCTTCTCTCTCTGGCCTGTAGTATGTAAGCACAGGCCTAGTGCGAGTCTAAACTCCTACCTTCTCCAAGTAGTAACTGACCCCCCTACCCTGTGTCACTGGAGACTGAGTAAGTAGGAAACCTGGACTTTTATCCCCATCAACATCAATTAAGTGACTACCCTATACTTTCCACCCATTGGTAGATAGCCAAGAAGAGGACTGCTAAAATACTAGATTTAAATAAGATCCAGAATAAAATAACATAATATATCCAGGATACAAATGGAACTCATGCATCACACCAAGACCCAGGAAAATCTTAACCTGAATGAGAAAAGATGATCAAAGATACCAAAACCAAAATAATGCAGATCTTAGAATTATCTGATAAAGATATTTAAGCAGGCACCATAAAAATGGTTCAACAAGCACATACTAAAACATTTGAAAGAGATAAAAATAGAAGCAGCAAAGAAATAGAAGGTATAAAGAACTAAATGAAAAATTTGGAACATAAACACACAGTAAGTGAAGTAAAAAGCTGGATAGAGTCCATGGATTCCACAGCAGATTCAAGAGGACAAAGGAAAAAAAATCAGTAAACTTCTTGAAGATAGAATAGAAATTACCAAAATTGAACAATAGAGATAAAACTCACTGAAAAAAACGTATATCAGTCTTATGGATATGAGAGACTAATAAGGAAAGGAGAAAGAGGGTGGGACTGAAAAAGTATTCATAGAAATAATAGCCAAAATGTTCCCAAATTTGGCAAACAACATAAACATACAGATTCAATCTAAGAAAACACTAAATAGGATAAACCCAAAGAAATCCATGCCAAGATACATCACAAACTGAAAACTGAAGACAAAAAACAAAAAAAAAACCACCTTGAAAGTGCTGAAAGAAAAGATACCATACGTGTAAGGAAAAATAAAAACAATCTGAAGGACATCATCATCAGAAACTGTCTAGACCAAAAGAAAGTGGTATGATATTTTCAAATGCTGAAAGAGCACTGTCAACTGAGAATCCTATATCCAGTGAAAATATTCTTCAAGAATAAAAGGGAATTAAGACGTCCTCAGATAAAGGAAAACTAAGGGGATTTGTCAACAGCATATCTATCTTAAAGGAAGTTTCTGAAACAGGAAGGAAGGAAATAATAAAAGAATGAATACTGGAACATCAGAAGGAAAAAAGAACAGTCCAAGTAAAAGTATGGAGTCACATCCAGAATATCACACTGCATTTATTTGTACATTTCCTTATTCTCTTAACTGTGACAATTTTTTGGTCTTTCCTTGAATTTGCATAAAATAAGCTCCCTAGCTGGTTTTCAGGTGGTAAATTTAAGATCCATTGCTGCTAAATTCAGAGGCAGATCAAGAGCACATCTCAGTGACCCATAAACTCTTTAAGAAGCACGTTGCCTCAGGGAACTTTCCCTTGCTTGAGTAATAGCTTGAACTTTGCTTCCCAAGTCATACTGGTTAGGGAGCCAGCAAAAAAAAAAAAAAAAAAAAAAAAAAAAAAAAAAAAAACAAGCCACATTTGAGGGATTCTGGAGAGAATTTAACAAAACTACCTATTATAGAGGTGTAGTCAGGGTTAAGATACCAAATAAGGGATGCTAATGTAACCAAGAACTAGCAGGAATTGAAAAGTTTTACTCTTCTTGGGAATGAAAGGGAGTAGGAATTTATCCAGCAGTAGCAGTAGCAGTAGTCAGGTATACGTAGTTATGAAGAACTCAGCCCTGACAGAAACAGAAGGTCCTGAAGCATGAAGTATAGGAAGACACACCAAAGGCTTTACCTCCTCCAACTCTATATATGTTGTTGCCTTACATTGGTAGAACTGAAATGGAAGAGTCCAAGAGATAAGGAGCTGAATAAGAGTTCCAGGCCACAGTGGAAGACTGGTGGAGAATGAATGGATCTGAGGGTTAGGTAAAGGGTGAATAACCAGCACTGTTCTAAGCAAAATGCCAGAGAAATAACCTGATTAGTAAACTGTCCTTGTGCTAAAAAGCCAAAACAAAACACAACTTTTGTGCCAGTATAATTGGACAGCACTCATTTAAAAAACATTCAGTATATTTAACTAACCAACATCTTTAGTTCAGTTTTCTCTTCAAAAAGCCACTTCTGAAACCTAGTTGGCAGTTAATGTATGTATGATTTTACCTGTAAGGTTTCTAAGTCCAGTTTGAATTTTCTGGTGAGGAAATTTACATAATTATGTTAATTTAATGCAAAGTCTCCAAGGTTTGTAGCAGATCATCCTTACCTTAAGGTCAAAGCTAGAATTCAGCCATCTATAGGCAATATCAAAATATGTTGTCCCCTTAATCTGATAGGAGAGGTATTCAGGCCTTTAACAGTAGATGTTTGACATTTGGGCCATTCAAATATATAAATCAGGGGGTTTACCACAATTGTATCAAGCAGTGACCACTTGTTTTCTCTTGCAGAGAACATCATGGGAATGCTATGCAGCCCTCTGTCAAGGATAACAGTGGTAGCCACGGCTCTCCTATTAGTGGAAAATTAGAAGGCATCTTCTTCAGCTGCAGCACTGAATTCAATACTGGAAAGCCACCCCAGGATTCACCCTATGGAAGATACAGGTTTGAGATTGCAGCAGAAAAACTTTTTAACCCCAATACTAACTTATACTTTGGGGACTTCTACTGTATGTACACTGCTTATCATTATGTGATTCTTGTTATTGCTCCTGTGGGATCACCAGGAGATGAATTTTGTAAGCAGCGCCTTCCTCAACTAAATTCTAAGGATAATAAATTTTTGACCTGTACAGAAGAAGATGGGGTGCTGGTTTACCACCATGCCCAGGATGTCATTTTAGAAGTCATTTACACTGATCCTGTGGATCTTTCTCTGGGCACCGTGGCAGAAATCACTGGTCATCAGCTCATGAGTTTGTCTACTGCAAATGCAAAGAAAGATCCCAGCTGCAAAACCTGTAATATCAGTGTTGGACGTTAATGCCCACTCTTCTTATTCTTACTCAGCCCCTTTTCCTCCCTTAGTAGCATTGGTCCTCTGTTGTCCATTTTCATCACCAGATGTTTTCCACTGAAGCATGCACATGCCACTGTCGCCAAAAACGAACTACCACTTTCCAAATTTCATTCAGAGCCATTTTAGTGTTTTCCTATTCCCTACCCCTCCCACTACTTTCAACGGTGAAATACCCTAATTTCTCCTTCTGACACTTTATTGCCTAGATGCTGCAATGTTTTTATGTTTCCTTTATGCCAAACATAACAAAACAGTTATATAGACCGCTTTAGCAAAGTACAAAATAATGGCTTATAAATGGTGTTTAAATATACATTCATTTTAATCTACTGAATAAATATTGGAATAACTCCAAACCGCATGAAAGGGTGTAATTGCAGCATGAGTTAAATCTTGAAGCCTAGAATTGTCAGCATTTCCAACTCCTTGTTTGACAGTGTTATTTATGTTATTTATATTAGCTAACAGGAAACAACTACTGTGTTATCAACATAATAAATATAATAGAAAAATATTTTATTTGTATTGTTGTATAAAATATTTACAATCATATAGAATATATAGAGTTACATTTTAATAGCAATTGTATACATGTCATGAAACCATTTCCCTTATCAAAGATGTAATTTGTAAACCTCAAATAGTTGTGTATCTGTCCTGTTACAAGTAGATGACTTCAATTAAACAAATTTATGAAGGACATTATTCTGATTCATAAAGTTATAAAATATTAGGTAAATACAGAGAAAACAATAAGCCTCTGAAATAGTCTGTTTCTGAAATAGTCAATAGTCTTCCCATTCAAACTATAAGAAAATGTGAATTTCTTCAACATCATACTTAAACATTACAGAAAAAAGAAATACAAACAAGGTTGGTACATGAGAGAAAATGTTGCCCTTTTACTTCCTTTTACAAAAATGAAAATAATAAACAGGCCTTAATATAAAATAACACAAAATGATATGCACTAAAATTGATGAAGCAAATAAATATTCTGGCTTCTTTTCCAAGGTGTCAGGGCAAACAGTTTCCAAATCTTTCATTTTGTACAGAAGGAAGAATAACTTCAGCTCATGAGAAATTTTTTGACTTTACAAAGTATATGCCTTGCAACATTAAGAAAAATGTATACTCCCAATGAAAAAATAGTTATATATAATCTTATAGTAAACAAAAGGATTAGCAGTAATACTATGGTCACATTAGATTATATACTGCAGACACATATCTATCCAAAATACCTATTTTAAATTTTAATACAATATTTTATTTTAATATAAACATCTGTCAGTTATAGACAAAGAAGATAATTCACAAAGTACATGCTATCAGAATGAACTTTGGTAACCAGAAATGTAAAATTTCAAATAACAGATAAAATAATATGTTATTTTTATAGAGAAATAAAAAAAATAGAAGTGACACAATCTAGTTTGTTTTAGGGTACTGAGAGCCTCACAGACTTAAGGGACAAGATAGTAAATGTTTTATCACTCAAAATCCATCAGAAGTTTCAAATAAATTACTTTCTTGCTAGCTGTATTCTTTCCTACTTGAGAAGTAGAATTTGTTTTCTTCCTCTTATTGATTTTTAAAAATCATGCTCTTTTCCATACATCATGAACAATCTTTGGATACTAAAACTTCCCCTAACAAGTGTCCCAGCTATGTTATTTAGATTTGATGAACTATTAGAAGTTTTTTAAAATGCTTATATTGACTGTGAGTTTTCTGCTTGGCATGGAGGACACTGAATTGTTTCCCAATTATATGGCTACCTGTTGTATCCTTCCTTCCATTTAAATCCCTTCTCCTTGTATGTAATTAAACTTGCTATTCCTTCTTAAAAACAGCTAATACTACCACTAAAGTGCTTCCATTATCATTGTGTCAGAACTACTTAGCAAGGGTGGCAGAGGAAAATAAACTTGACTTTATATCATGGGTGAAAGTGATCATAACATTTCCTGAACCTCAAATGGTTTTGGCCACATCTTGCTTGCTGATGAGGACCTCTAATAGTCTCAGTTTGGCTTTTATGTGCTTATATTCATAATACTCATCTGCCATTGGTATCCTGTCTTCCTTTTGTGGACTTCTGCAAGAAAAAAATACGTTTATTACTTCACAATGAATCCAGTGATTAAATATTCTTTTATAATTCATATATGAAAAAGCATACTGTAACAGCTTCTACTTGGTTTTTGCATCATATCTTCTTTTACTTCCCTTTCACCTTCATTCACTCCCCCTTCCATGTGTTACTAAGTTTCTAAATAACAGTAACCTTTGAAAACTTGAATGACATAAGTGTTTTGAAAATCTGTGGTCCGGTGCGTAGACTTACAACAATGGGGTAAGTGAAAAGATCTAAGGAGAAATAAACAAACAAAAACCAGAACTTTCAAGGCATTCTTTGTCCAGTCATTCTCCCATTATCTGCCACAGCCCTACACCTGTACAAAATGTTTAGCCCTAATAGAGTGGTTAAAAATATTAACCTGAAAACACTACATAAATTACATTTTTAAAATAATTTAATAACTTATGGTAACAAGAAAAGCATTCAGGGTCTGTCTTACAAATTTGAAACATTTCCAGACTTTCTTGTAATTATAATACCTGTGTCTGCTAATATATAGTAGAACCACTGAGCGAGCTGTTCCTTAACTGAAGTAATTTATGAGAATCTACATTGCAGTGGTTCTCTTCTGTACACTAATTCTACTAAGGCTAGACATGTAACAATGCATAGATTTTTATACAGTATGCAGTATGCTCTTGCTGTTTACTTGGAAGAATAACTTGGTAACATCAGGAGTTAAAATCATTTGCCTTCCCACAAAAATATGTTGTCAGGATATGTTTTCTAAAGGAAATAATTGCGACAGGGTCTCAAAAGTCTCTGGTTTTCTTGGTAATAAGATAGCTAATTGTTTTGAAAATATTTCCACGCATGACTTTGAAATTTAAGAGGTAGAGGACACGGATATAGTCACTACAGTTACAACTGAATATAACTACAAATACTGTCTAATATTACTGTGGCTGAAACCAGGTAAATAGCTTATATTTAATGTTTTATCTTTACCCCTTTCTATTTTTCCAATAGTGATAAAGAGATATTTCTATCTCTTACCAAATAAAAAACAAGCTAATCTATAAAGATTGTCTATGAATGTAGTATCTACTTGTATTTCATAACTATTTATTGCCCTGCAATTTCTAGTACAGAACTCAGAACAGTACACAAATCCACAGAGTGCATTCTTCTTAACTATTGTCTAAATTATATAACATAAATCCTTTGCCTCCATTCTGTGTTCTGAGTCAAACTTACCATAACTGGGTGTCTGAATACCACCTTAATTTCTATAAATAAATCTAAGTAAAGAAATTTCCTAATTATTACAGAGAAACATTAATAATGCATTATGTAATTTTCCCTAGTTTTGCATATTCCATTTTGGTTAATAAGGGTGCTTTGACAAGAATGAAAAGTTTTGCTAAGTCTTTCCTGAAGCAGTTTCCCCATTATATAAAACATACTAATGTGCTTACCACAGTTCCAGGCTCATAATTATTAATAATAATGTAATATCTATATGATTCTCATGCCTCTTGTATGGCAAATATTACCAAGAACATTTACAGTGTCTTAAACATTTTAATTCATTTGCATGGTTATTTTACCTTATGGATAGCTAGGCCTTCCCAGTGAAATGTCTTAGATAAAGAAAATTAAGGTCCATAATTCCTAGCCATTCAATGGTTTGATTTTAGTTGTAAAAGATCATCTTTTGTGCATTTAGTTGAAATATATCACCAAAAGGGGCATAAACTTCAAAGCCAAATATAGGCTTATCTGACTTGGGTTTAGGACTCATAGTTGCAGTGTTAGTTATGTTCTATACTATGCATAGAACATAGCTAACTTCCCTTTATGACCAAAAGCATACCAAGTGACACTGCAGATCCACTAGGCAGGACTAGTAGTACACTGAGAAGTTCTCAAACCCCTTAAGATAGATTCCTGGGTTCAAATTGGTAAAAATATAAATTTATTCAAAGAACTCAAATTTATGAAAATAATGTATACACATCTTAAAGTATCATTTATCATATGTAATGACTGTTTGATTTACAATATTTGATAACATCTCCACAAATATTTCCCTGAATGAAAAATTCCCATAGCATACCATTAATCCAAAAGAGGCAGATATCAGGAACTTTATAGTGCAAGTCACATATTTACCCAGATATAGCAGACAGTCCAGAAAAAATTATTACTCCAAGGAATGTTTTGCAGGGAAAGTTACATGAACATTTTATAAAAGAAAAAAGTATGAAAAAAGAAAATTAGTAACAAATGCTTTATATTCTAAATTTATGAGCCACATACCATTTCTCACTAGATTAGTTAACATCACCAAAAAGGTAAGTTGGATTTGTAGCAATCAACTTCAAGATTACAGATAGAAAATAGGTTGTTAGATCTGTATTTGCTGAATGCAAAAAGCTTTTCACTCAATAGGTCCAGTCCTAAAGAATATCCCTGGTAGGCTAACATGGAAAACCTGCCAGGGACAAAGAGGTGAGTAGACCAATCATGAGAGTTTCAAGGTGCTTTGGAAAATAGTCCCTTTCCATCAGGACAACCCTCAGCCTGCTGAACTGAAAGGTCAAATACAATACCTAAATGGAGAGGAATACAGAGAAGCCAGTGTGGCACTGATAAGTTTATGACTTGAATGATGAGTTTAATGTCATCTCATCTACTTAGTAACTTGTGGCTGTGAGAAAGTTACACTCTAGATTTATTTATTTTTTTAAAGATTGTTATCTCACATGACAGCTGTAGCTTCCCAAAGTATCCCAGGAGTCCAGTCATTTCAGCTTATAAAGTGGGAACTGAGGCTCAAGATAACTAAGCAATTTATCTCTCTTCCAAAAGTGGATCAATAACCCTTATCACTCAATTATGTATGTAATTTTGTTGTTGAGACATCAAAAATTAGAGGAAACTAATAGAGTGTATAATGAGACTTGGGTTGACACAGAAAAGTAGAGGACAGATGATAAAGCTAACCATATATTTAAGGGATAGAAAGAATGACTATGAATTTTTTATCAAGTCTTGAAATAAAATAATTAGGGACAGATCCTAACTTCTAAGGAAGGCATTTAAAGCAAATAAGGAATTATTATTTAATAAAGTAGGGAGTAACTTGCAGAACTGAGAAACAACGAAGCAGTTATGTGGGCTAAAAAAAAATCAAATAGATTCTTTAAAGGTTTAAATAAATCCATTTATTTATGATGAGATTTATTGTCCAAACAGAGATTTTTAGAGTTTATCCTTTATTTTTTACAGATTGACGTCACGCTTGACAGCTAACATGTCCCATAAAACATCACTAATATTGGCACTATTAGAATGTTGGATTGGACAAATCCTGAGTCTAAGCTAGTGTGGAAATTACAGATATTTTGTAAAAAGTCACTGCTGCTGCCAAAAAATTGCAGTTCATTATTAACAATAATTCTCTAGGAAGTTAGCTTTAAAAATCTCTCTGCCCACACATACCTTCCTGTTTGTTTAAAAAACTGTTCTTCAAATTCTCTTAAGGCTTTCCGCAGTCTCTTCTTGTCAGCCCTGGTTTCTCGGAGATGGTCAAGAAGTACAGGCCTGAAGGGGAAATAGAGGCAGCAAACCACTGGGTTATGTATGCAACTATGCAACAACCTTGCATGACCTGCATATGTACCCCAGAACCTAAAGTAAAGTTAAAAAAAAAAAGGAAAAGAAGAAGTACAGGCCTATAGAAGGTAAAATATTTGCCATTACTGAGCACTGGCATAATTCAGAGATCAACATGAGCAGATTTCTCTGTTGAGCCAAAAAAGCATACTATGATTAAAAGGTGTTCCGATCATAAGAGTGTTTTTTAAGTAAATATGACACACATAAAGCATGACCATAGGCAAGCACACAAGCAGGGAAAATTACCTGATGGAAAACATATCATAGGATAGGGGAAAGGACAGACAAGAGGCAAGCACATTGAGTCCACTGAAAGAAGTTGTAAGGGTAACAGCAATATAATTGGATGAGGGAAGGGATGTTTTGAAGGAAAACTCAGCAGCATTTGGTGATAGACTAGATGTAAGAGATAGAGAGGAACAGCTTTTAAAGAAAATTATGTCCTTAATCTAGAGAAATAAGTGTGGGAATGTGGGGACATGGCAAAATCCTTGTGAATGAAAATAAGACCCAGAAGAAAGTTATAGTTACATCCTACCAAGATGAGAGAAAAGTCATACACTCTAGAGCAGGAGTTTGGTATACACAAGCATACAAAATTCATGTTTCAGAGATTCTGTGAACTTGAAATTATATATGGGCATTTTCTTAAAATGATTCTATTGGTTTCAGAAAAGTCCAACACCCCTTGAAAAAGTTAGGAATAACTGCTTTATAACCACCACCAAAAAAAGAAGGATTTTCTGCTTGCTTTCTCTGACAGGTCACATTTCTGTCCATTTAAATCAAATTAAATCTCATAATCAGGGCTGTAAGATACAAACCAAAGAAGGCCAAATTATGAGGAATGCCAGCTTCTGAATAATAATAATGATAATATTAATGAAAATCCAAATGGCTTCTGTCAGAAGGGCCATTTAAGAGACAAAGGGCAAATCATTTGCTTCAGACCAACGGGATTTCTAGTTAAGAAACTATCTCATCTAAATGTAAGAGATTAAGATAAAGGCCCTGAGAACTGTTGACCCACCCCTTTAAGTCCAGCATTTTCAAAGGCCACCTCTGCTTCATACACTGGTATCAGACCAGAAGAGTTAAGAAGAGACTCCACACTTAGGATTCATACTCACATGGTAGCCTCATGTAAATTAGACATGGAGAGAGCTGGTGGTTTTACTTCTTTCTTTTCATCCGGTAGAAGGGCCCTAACAGGCTCAGTCTCATTAGGGTAGATGAGGTGTTCACCAACAGGAAGGTGAGATGCTGGATCCGGCAAAGAAAGTTGTTGGCTTCCCTGTGGATGGTCTTCATCAGAGTCCTCTTCCTCCTGCTTATCACAGACAGAGTTAAAGAAAGAAAGTTACATAATGCCCAGTGCCTCTTGAGGAAACAAAACAGGAAGAGGAACAATAAATCAATGCCATGAAAACCAGTAGGTGACCCATGTGCCTACTGAGAACTGGGATGGAAGCAACCAAAAGGAGCTCTTCCTCAGTTTGATTAAAAGCTTGCCGAAGTTAATGAGCAAAAACGCAGCAGCCATTCTGGGCTAAAACACTCACCAAGTTAATCTGTGTCTTCTGGGCCAATGAAGGCACAGACCATTAGGATATGCTCCAGTCCAGACTATACTACCAAGTGGTTCCTCCCTTTCACTAGGCCTTCTGGGCTCCAGCTTAAACTTGTGATATGAGTTAATATTAGATGGGCTACAGACAACTTTTATCCTCCAGAAATACCCCAAGTCAGGTCCCGGTGGGGACCAACATTCAAATACAGAGAATACTCAGAAAATTAACAAGTTCAGGGGAGAGCTCTTTGAAAGCCAAAGCAAAATGGGGTTGCTCCTCAACCTGTTCTGATAATTTTTATCACAACTAGAAGATTCTTTTGCAAGGAATATAAGAACCCTGCTACATTTTAAATTATGCTTCCATAATGGGAAAAATCCAAAGACTATGAATTATTATTCTCTTAATGTCTTTAAAATACAGAAGTATAAATGTACCAAGTATACTTACATTTATATTTGTTAATATTTACTCCTTTTCATATTGATGTCTTGAACAAGTAACTGTTTTGATATTGATGGAGTAGGATTTGTGATGCTTTTCTAGTTCTGTATTCCCATAAATCATTCTTTATTAAAGGTAGTCTAACTCAATTTCAGTACTCCTATTTTCTATTGAAACAAATCTTCTCATATCTTGTACAATATGGTCAAATAGTACCAAAAACAAATGTTGCAATATATCAAGAATATATTGTGAATTTTCTGATTAAAGGAATAAATTAACCAACACACAGAACAGAAAGGCTCTGTTTTGTCTAGTTGTGCTACAAATTAGATAATGCCAAACTGAAATCTATCATTTCTTTTCACCCAAGGTAATCAAGGCAAATGTTAAAATTGGCTCTAGACATACAAGTACTATATGCTCTGATTTTACAGTAGATCTAATATCTGCCACTGTTAAGTATAGTAGCAGGGTTAGAGAAGACCAAATTTTCACTTTTTGAAATGACGACTGGCCTTGTTAGCAGTATATACTGCCATGAAGGGTCTTTTATAACTCTTGTAGTACTATGTCACATCATGTTAACTACACATCAGTACAAAATACCAGCATGCAAGTATCCTGACTTACAATTGTTGGAATAAGGGAAGGCGTTGACAAGATTTGTTTGATAATTCTGTACCGGTCATAAAGCGGCTTTATGAGGTTCTTGTCTTGCTTAGTTGCCTGAAAAACATGAAATTAATTATTATTCCTCTCTCAGACAAGAATGAAAAGTCAATATTTTTAGCAGACAAAAAGTGTCAAAGTAAAGGATTATAATACTATAATGTAACAGTTATCATAAAAAGAAAAGTCATTTTTATTTTTTTTTTTTTTGAGACAAAGTCTCACTCTGTCACCCAGGCTGGAGTCCAATGGCATGATCTCGGCTCACTGCAACCTCCAACTCCCAAGTTCAAGCAATTATCTTGCTGCAGCCTCCCAAGTAGCTGGGACTACAGGCGTGTGCCACTGTGCCTGGCTTTTTTTTTGTATTTTTAGTAGTTTCAGGGTTTTACCATGTTGGCTAGACCAGTCTCAAACTCCTGACCTCAAGTTTCAGCCTCCCAAAGTGCCAGGATAACAGGCATGAGCCACAGTGCCCAGCTGGAAAGTCATTTATAAAATACTGCATGTAGCACATGCCAGTTTTTTTCTTGGAAAAGTTTCTTAAAGGATACGTCCAAGTTTAGGAATGTGATTTTTGGAGGAGTCTGCAATGCATAAGTGTTAAGGAACCTCTCCTTAATTAATTCTTCATTCTTAAAAAAACAATTCAGACAGTGATTTTTCTACTGACACATGTATTTTACATAGACTTTCCTGATTATATGTAGTCACAAACACCAATCTTGTACAGGTCTTCATCACTACATGCTTGAATTATATCCTAGGTTATTGTCTAGCTGTGATACAAACTAAATTATTTTGGACAAAACATCTAACTTCTCTGAATCCTCAATTTCCTACCTATACAAGAACGAGGTTGGAGTTACCAGTATCCTTCCATATAAAAAATGTATAACCTCTTGATCCACGAATATATTCTATACCCCTCTACCGTAAGCACCCCATCCCTAAGCACTATTTTCAACAGATCACATTGTACATAAAAATTTAAATAACTTCCTATCTATCAATCTGTCTATCTATGTATCTGCCTATTTATCCAAAGTGACCTAACTCCTCTGCTTATATTTATTTTTCTTCCTGTTTTATTCTGCATTAATTTTCTGCATGTCTAGTACACATAGCCTCCCTTTTACTCTAGTCCAGTGATATACACTTGACAAGTAGTGGGAGGGGAATAGTAGAAATGACTCATGGAATAATCACCCAGTCATCTTTTATCAAACTACACACATCCAAGCATGCCAGACAGATCTGCCATCCAGATCTGTCTCCCTTGAAAGAAAAGAAAATGTTTCAAACATGTGTTACACTTCGCAGTTATCCTCATGCTCCCAACTCTCATCCCAGTTGCAAACCATTCTGGCCCATATTGATCTAAACTTTTCTCTGAACTTCTTGTCTCATTATCTGTGCCTTAACTGTTTTCTTTGTTTCAGCTTTGTCTGCCCAAATGAAGGGTTCTTGAGGACAGAGATTATATCACACATTTCTTTAAATTCTCACAGTACCCAACACATTCCCATCCCTACTACCAAGCTATCAACACAGGTTTATGTGCAGAAGGGACTCTAATTTTTAACAATTTTCTTGTAAGTTCCATACACTAAGACTCACCTCCCTCTGTAGAACCCTTTTAAGTATTGTTTAAATAACCTCAAGATCTTTTCATTTGCTAACCCAATCATTTTTTTTTTTAATTTAGGTTCTGGGGTACATGTGCAGGTCATGCAGGGTTGTTGCATAGGTGCATATGCACCTATGGTGGTTTGCTGCCTCTATTCCCCCTTCATCTATATCCGGCATTTCTCCCCATGTTATCCCTCCCCACCCTCTCCTCCTCTGCTGTCCCTCCCCTAGTCCCCCTTCCACTGCCCCCAGTGTGTGGTGCTCCTCTCCCTGAGTCCACGTGTTCTCATTGTTCAGCACCCGCCTATAGTGAGAACATGTGGTGTTTGGTTTTCTGTTCTTGTGTCAGTTTGCTGAGAATGATGGTTTTTAGATGCATCCATGTCCCTACAAAGGACACGAACTCATCATTTTTTATGGCTGTGTAGTATTCCATGGAGTATATATGCCACGTTTTCTTTGTCCAGTCTATCATTGATGTAACCAAATCATTCTTTAAACACTTTCTTATTCATAACACATCTTTCCATGAAAAAAAAATCCAACAAGTTCCTATCAAAATCTGTTCTATGGGATTTTAATAGATGATAGAAGAAAAAATCTCAGTCTAAGTTCAGAAAACATTGAAATAGTGTTTTTTATGTAATATCTTACTAGGACTTATAGTCCATAGAAAGTATTTCAGAAAATGATGCATTCAGCTATTATTGGTGTCTTTCTATTGCAATTTGATTTTTGTGATTTTAGCATATTTCCCAGATTCTAGAAAAGCTAAATTTAATCCTAAAAAAAAAAGTGAGCAAAACACACATTAGAATGATGAATGCCATTGCAGAAAAGTATCTTCCACGGATGCTAGATTAAAGTTCAGGAACCTGTACAATGTATGCACTCCTTTTTCACTTTGATTTCATTGTCTTCCTCTTAAGATCATTATCACACCAATCCCCGAAGAGACGTGAGGGTTCCACACCCTATCACATAGTAAGTACAAAACACTGTGAAACATCTAAGTCTACAAGTGCTCATCCTCAGATAAAGGACAGGAAAGCAGACTGCCTGAGAAAGGATAGTAGTGGGATTATGTGCCAGGAACTGTTTTCTCCTCACAAAGAAGCAATAGGCCTGCAAAGTGATCTTCATAAAGGAAACTGAATCAAGGTAAGCTCTGCAGGATACCCCACATCTAAGAGGGCAGAAACACATTAGACTGCTGTTATTCTTCAGCCACTTTCTGCTAAGAATCAGATAATTTTCTCTGAATTCAATGGCTCTCTCTTTCTGAATGCATCCTTCTTCCTCCCTAAATCTATAGTTGCTGCTGGCTGTAGTATGCAAGATATATATATATATTTTTAAATTTTGTTATATGAATGAAGAAAACAAGGTTTCCTTTATATTTTTGGTTACATGTTGAATAACCTAAAACAGGCAAAGAGAGCTATGAATCAACTGTCATAATTTAAAGATGAATATGAGGATCTATCCTTTAAAAGATGATTATTCTTCCAGCTTCTCCATTTTTATAGTAGCAGGAGTAAAACTAAGAAGAGGATGAGCAAGAGAGCATCATGTAGAGGACACAATTTGATATGATCTTTTTTTTAATAGCTTGGCAACTTTGCCATATGAAAACTCCTAGCTCCCTATCAAATAGGTGATTTGAATCACCAAGGTCTAGAAATAAACTGACTTTCCGAGAGACATAAATGCTACTGAGGGGTCAGCCCAAATTAGTTTCTTTCTGGGCCCTGGTCAGAAAGTTGTTTGGAAAAAAGCTGCCTTAGCTTCAGCACCTTTATCACCTTGTTTTCCTTTCCCCCATGGGACTGGTGCCATGTATTCTTGCACAGTAAGCCACAGAAATTTATAATAAAATTTTGTAAATAAAATCATTCTGATTATCCCCATAAATGAGCTCTCTCTTAAAGAGAACAGTAAAACTGACATTCTCTTTTCTGGACAGTGAGCAGTAGGAAACATGCTTCTTAGCTTTAGGGACTCAAGTCCTGCCAAGCTTTTCCTAAATATCCCAACCCCTTATTTAGGGAGACATTATATGTAAGCAAGTCTAGCCATTTAAACAATCAAACAAGATGGAAAGTCGGTAATGGATATTATCATAGAAAGCAACTGCCAAAGAGAAAGTTTTGGTCAATTTAGATGTCCAACCAGGGAATTGAAGACTAATATTCATCTTAAAACCAGAGGACATGAGTTCAGATAACCAGCTTCAAAATTTATAAACTGTTTTTAACATTACAAATATGTAACATTTGAACCTTAGCTTTCTAATATGCAGAATGAGGATGACTTTTAATAAGTCATATAAATGTTTCTGGATTAATATTAATAATAGGCATACTAAATGTTATTTGAGCTATCAAACTAGTTGACTTGATGTTAATGTCAATGCTATCCATTAATAAAAAAGAATGCCACAGTGCTATTGAATAATAAATTTTTAAAAGTAAAAGAGAATGATAAGCTCTCTATGTCTTGATATAAAAAGCTATCCAGAATATATAAAGTAAAAAAAGATGCATAATTGTATAGACTGCTCCCTTTTGTCTAACAGAGGCAAGTTAAGACTATATATTGAGGCTAGGCATCCTGGCTCACTCCTGTAATCCCAGCACTTTGGGAGGCTCAGGTGGGAGCATGACTTAAGGCCAATAATTCTAGACCAGCCTAGGCAAAAGTGAGAGCTCACCTCTACAGAAAATTAAAATAATCAACCAGGCATAGTGGTGCACACCTGTAGTCCCAGCTACTTGAGAGGCTGAGGTAGGAAGATCGCTTGAGCCCAGGAGTTCATGGCTGCAGTGAACTATAATTGTACCACTACACTCCAGCCTGAATGATAAAGTGAGACCCTGTCTCTAAAAAAATAAAAATAAAAATGAATGTGTATTGATAATTTCTTATATATGCTTTACATAGAAACTCTAAAAGAACACATAAAACATTAATAACAATGGTTATCTGCTTGGGGTGGGAGATCTCAGAGCTGGAAATGGCAGTTGGGGTTGGAAGGAGTTTTTTTTTAATTTATTTTTATTTTTATTTTCTACTTTTGCCATTTTCTTTTATATATTTTCTTTTTAAACTATATGAGAAAGTATTACCTATTCAACATATTACTTTTTAGAAGAAGGATAAATAGGAAAGCAGAAAAGTTTGATGGCATCTTTCTTTGCATGCTCTTTATCTCTAAGTCTACTGTCTTTCCAACCAACAACAACCTGCTAATAAGTTATTAAACTTTTAATGATTTTTTAAGATAAAATGTATACTTTCTAAAAATCTGCTTTCATCCTCAAAGAGGCTACAGTTGACAAGAGGCCAGAAGAAGTAACTGCCATTACTTATCCCCTTGATCATTTGTGCTGTGCACCTGACCCACCTTCAGTTCTTAGAAAGGTCAATATTGATATATGTGCCAGCACCAATTCAGTATTTCCAAAAGACAATGACATAAAAAACAGAAATAGGCACTACATTTCAGCTCAGGGGATGATTAATTCATTTCCAGTTCACAGCCATGCCCTGTAACCCAGAAGTGATTTTCTCCAAAAATTATCCAGAGATAAAAGAGGAAGAAAATTACTCATTGGTAGTATCTGAACGAACAAGGCAATGCTACAGGATTTATCACCCTTAGTATAGGCTCCGACTAAATATCAAATGCAGAAATTATAGAAAGAGTCATAATAAAGTCTCTCTAGAAAAGATGTCATTCTTTATCTTGAAATTTTAATATTTAATGCATTTTCAGCAGTAAGGCAAGGACCCCAGATGAAAGTCATATGTCATTTCGAGTTTAAAGAAATGGGACCTAATGAGATTATCTGAGATGCTACTGAGCTCATTAGGAGTTAGAAATAACACTAGCTGCTATGGGAATACACAGTTTTCTCTTTGGTTATGCTGTGGCCTCTACACTCAAACGGACTGTAGTGGTCGACTAGCTACTACATGGTTTACTACATTAAGCTTTCTCAGGACTAATACTCAGCTTTATGTATTTACATTTTCTATTACAGATGCTCTCCGTTTAAAGGACCTAATGTTAGTCTCTGAGGAGCTACATTATAAGTATATTTGAGGGGGCTTCGGGCACATAATAAACAAATCAATAGATACTTCATTAAAAATAATAGAATTAACTGGCATTTATACAGGGTGACCTCCATGCATAAGGAGATTTTTCTCTGATCTCCCGACTCTCATTTGCATGTGTCTATTTGACTTACATGCCTCAGTAGAATGACCAACCATCCCAATTTTCTCAGGACTCAGGCATTTCCCAGGCCATGGGATTTTCAGTGCTAAAAGCAAAAATGTCTTGGGCAAACTAAGATGATTGATCACACTATTCCTGAAAGATCTTAAATGTAATATATCCCAAACTGACCTTTTACATTTTCATTTACAACCCCCAGTGTGCTCCTCTAGTTTTCTCTGTGTCAGTAAATGGACCATCGCCATCATGGATTCTTCATTGCCTTCATTTCCTCCCATCTAACGCTTTCACATGTCCTTTTGATTCTACCTTCAAAATATACTTTGAATGTATCACTTCTTTCCCTCTCCAAGGCCACCATGCTAATCCAAGCCACCCATTCCATCTCCCCTTTTCATTCTTTTCCCTTATGATGTATTCTCCACTTAGCAATCAGACAGATCTTTTAAATGTAATCATGTCATGTCAGTTTTCTGCTGTCAACCATTCAACAACTTTGCAAATAATTCCCACAGCTTAAAAGGTTCTGTGTGATGGGTTCTAATCTGTCTTTTCTGATTTGATCTCATGCCATCCTGTTCTCCAGCCCTCAAACTTGAGAATTCGAAGTGCACAACAAGCCCTTCCTTTCATCAAGGCCTTCATACTGCAATTCCATCTGTTGAGAATGTTCGCTGATGCTCTTTGGCCTGCTGATTCTTCTTTAAATGTCATCTCTTGGCCTTCCTAATCATTTTATCTAAAGTAGAAACTATACCCATTATTTTCTATCATATCACCTGTTAAATATCCTGCATAGTACTGTGGGAAGTAGAAAAGTTTCTTTTTAAAGTTTTCCTTTTTGTTAAAGAATAAGTATGCTAATAACTTTGTTAAGCCCTATTCTATGTAGCTGTTAGACATGCCATGCTTACAGGCATGTAGTACATTCTATGTTCTTTCACTTTAACCAAGATATTTGTGCTAAACCTGCTCATAGGCATGTCTCAACACTTTCAATTATTTCTTGCTATTGAGTTATTTCTTGTATTCCCACTCCCAGGACAACATGAACTACATGAGGACATTGACCTCCCCCCCATGACTTCTCTATCTTTTTTCTTTTTTATATCTACCATCTATTCTACTTCACAACACATAGTTAGCATTCAAAACTTTTTGCAAATGATTGGTGTACACCAGTCAGTAGGCTTCTCTCTTATTGTCATGATAATTATATAAGTAGGTATTGCCTGTATTTTACAGATGAGGAAGTTGAATCTCAGAGAATTAGTTCACTTGCCAAGTGCCAATGGATAGAAAGTGGCTGGTTCAAGTGCTGAGTCCTGTTCTAAGTCTATTGTATCAATTCCAACTCTCCTCTTACTACCCTTGTTAATTGAGTAGATTTAGACATTGACCAAAGTGCTTTAATAGATATGCTTGAAGTAACATTAAAATACTGGAAAGACCTTCAGAACCACTGAAGGATGGAAAACCATGGGTGTGCCTGAAAGTTTCTATATATGTATGTGCAGAAGTTACCCACTGGCTATCACAAAAGTGTAGAATCTTGGTGGGCTCAAAGATAGGATAGCTGAGTGGAAAAAAACTTTCTCTTCACTCCTTACAACACATATTTGTTGTTGTTGTTTTAAGGCTAAAGGTATTTCATAAAGATGTGGTCACAGGCCCATTTCTGCTTGTAGATCACAAATCCTTATGTAAAGGACTAATCCAGGGGTATATGTTGAACCTTTTGAGATTTGGAATATGTTGTCACTTTATGATTAATACCAGGCAATATACAATAGAACAGGGAAAGGCAGCTTTATCTTCAAGAAGGCTTCATTTGAAAATTAAATATGCTAGTTTGTTCATTCATCTGCTCATTTTTTCATTCACGCAGCAAACATTTATTCAATACCTACTATGTACAGAAAAGGAGGGGTCATGACCTATAAATAGTACTTCCATGCAAGAAATTCAAGGTGTAGTACAAGAAATAGAAGATGGCATACAAGATAGTTAGAGCTATGATAGGGTAGTTGCATCTCTTATTCGAGAACTGAAAGTCAATCACACCAGTTTTAGAGGTGAGACAGGGGACTACAGGAAAGCTTCCCTGGAATAATTGAAATGGGAGCATAGATATGCAGGACAAGGAGAGATTAACCAGGTAAATACTAATCAGTCTTTTCTTCTTTGTAAAATATAATAAATCCTCTCTTTGAGCTTCAGGCTCATATATTCAAATGTCTGAAAACTCTCTCTGGATGCCTCACAGAGACTTCAAAACTAAGATACCCAAAGCTGAAAACTTGTGTTTCAACCTAACACTCAAGAAACTCTACCTCTCTATTCTTATTATATAAATACCAAACTATTTTCCTTACTATTTATAGATTATCCCTGCTCTACTATTTTTTAATAAGACATGAGGAAAGGGGCTGTAACTGGAGTCCTTTCTTTTCATACAATATGCTTATTTCCTAGTCTTGGGTTCATTTGCTAATTTGAAGGTGGGGGTAGCTGAGGAGAAAGGGATATGGTGTCCTTGCCATTTGCTTCCTAACAACACCCAAGAATATAACCTCCAGAATGGTGGCATAGCCTGGAATCATGTGGCACTACTGCTCATGGCCAGTAACCTATCAAGAATTCATCTGAAATTTTGGACCCAGGCTAATAAAAATGTTTATGTAATGGCAAAGTGCTCTGACAAATTGGATTATCTCACTAGCACTGTGTGGAGTATTGGAGCATGCAATATAATAAGACATGGTGAGGTACCTTAGAATCCTCTTGGGGAGGAAGTTGCTCTCTTTTCTCCTTCAGGCATGTCAAGGCAGCATCTGGAGTCTCTTCTCCAGAGGAGCTTGGCTCTGGGCCCGCAGCTTCCGGCTTCCCATTTTCTCTGAGGACTGTGGGTTGCTCACGGGACAGGTTTCTACGTGGACCTTTAGGAGCACTCCCCTGTTCTTCTGACAGCTTTAGCTTTAGTTCTAAGAGAAATGCTATAAGTTATCATAAGCAAAGAGAACCCACAAGCCCTAATTAGAACAGAGAGCCTTTCAGGAATTCCTTCCCCAATGCCAAATCTGTAGAAATGAACACTAATGATGGCTTTCCAGAGGGCAAGGGCAACCCTTATTACAAGGGCCATTAACATAAGCTCCTAATAAGGTGTGAAACAGCAATCTAGAGGCTAGGATTTGATGGAGGTGGAGGATATGTATGGGAATAACTCAGTAGTTTAGATTTCAGAGGAGGAAGAGTTTGCAGGAAAACCAGTGGTACCTGGCCTTACCTGCAATGTACTCTAGCACCTGAAATTCTGAACCCAAAGATTTGTTTACTTAGATTTTGAAGTTGTGGGTTCATCAAGAGCCCCTGTAGAAACTCAAGTAATTCTGGAAGACATTATACATGTAAACACTCAAGGAACTATAGGAGGGGGTGGGAAAGGGTAGATGGGAGTATCAGCCCCAACTTGACAGATTTTGCTATTTTTGTCTTACGGCAGCTTTTAAGATCCAAGAATTATTGCAATGTGCTTTATATTAAACATAGATAATTAAAAATAAAAAAGCCCCATGAGACTTATCAGGGAATTACATTTTAGAGTATGCAAGGGGACTGGTTGTTTGAATAAGGCATTTATATTGATTTCTCCATTACATAGCTCATTTTCTTTGTTTGATGTTTGTTTGCTAGTTAGACTTTGGCTCGATGTTTAAACACTACATATTTTATAAACCTTCCACATCATTACAGTTTAATACCACTGAATTAATATTCCCTTCTAGTTCTTTTTAGTCACTCTCCTTCCAGAAATTTGGAAAAACTCCCATGTCTCTAAGTATTAGAGTGAGGAAAGAGGAAGAAAATAATTTTTATTGGTAAATAACAATAGTCCATTTTAAGTGGATTTTAGAGTTAATACTCACACCACTGTTTCCAGAAAAGGACAGAAAAAGGAGGACACTAGCCTACATGGTAGGAGAACCACATTCTACACCTGGCCCACCATCTTCCAGCTATGTAACCCTCCCCACTCCATGAGCATAAATGTCCTCATCCGTGCACTGAGGTGTGTGGAGTAAATGATTTCCCAGGCCTCTTCTGTTTCTAACATCCAACAATCCAATAACTTAGGGAGGTTAGTGCTCCACATGTTGAAATGTTCCTGGCAGTGAAGTGAATCATTCCACTTGGGAGTCTGGAGGGCCTCAGTTTCTTTGTAAGGAGGTTTATTACATGGGGTCAAACAATGACAGAGATCCAAGATGCTTCATTTCAAAAGAGAGCTACAGTCTAAGCAGGAAACAAGATGCAAGTGGGCACAGGTGGAAATAAATCTAAAATGCTCTGGAGCACATTATCACTACTTTAACTGCTTCCTTTCTGAGGAAAAAAAGACCTTTGGTTGGCATTTACCTTTGAGCTGTTTACGACCTTTAGCCAAATCATTCATCCATTTCAGGACTTCAGGATTAGATGTCTTGTCACCATGTGAAGGCTACCAAGGGAGGGAAAAAATGGGGGGGGAGGTGGAGGGAAGGAGAAAGGGAAAGGGAGGCGGATAAAAAGAGAAAAGGGAAAACAAAATTTTTAAATAGCTGAGTCACACAAAGGTAGTTTAGGAATATATAAAGCGGGGAGAGAAATTCACATGTGACATTTCTGATGGAGTTGCTTCTGATGAAGTTGCTTCTAGAAAACAGAGTAAAATGTCCTTGACTTCCTCTATTCTTTAATCCTTGCCATGGGTATTATTTCTAAACATGCCTGGTCACCTAACACTTTTCACAAAGTCTTAGCCATGCCAGTGCCCCTATAATCAAACTGTCAATCACCTTGCAGGTCGCCCACAGCCCATATATACCCCATTGCCAGGCCATTCTCTGTAGCACTGCAGATGACTGCACTGATACAAAGCAGTGCTTACTGCCTTGCTCGTGGCTTACACACATGGTGTATGTACATAACCTGTGGGAGAATACTAAAAAACTGGAAGATTCAGCTCTTATCACTCATAGCCTCTAAGCTAAAGAAAGGAGATCCCAGAATCTCTAAAACCTGACGATAGTCCTGAGAAGTCAGTCTGTCAGGGGGATTAATACCTTCACTAGTGGCAGGCAAACATACTGTCCTTCCACCCCCATAGATCAGTAAAAAACTGTTCCTAAACAAGTCAAGACTACCATAATAACTTACATGCAAGCTCAAGAAAATTAATGGTTACTTTAAGGATGTAGAGGAACTATAAAATAAGCCCAAGATGACATGATCATAAACATAATAGCCTGAAATATGTGCCTTGTTAATGACCAAATCTAGAGGTTGTGTCAATTTTTTTAAGTATCCACTAAATTCATGCAACAATGGCAGGTTGTTGGTGAGAGGGAGGCATAGGAAGTTGGGGATTTTTCAAACTCAAAGGAAAAAACTACAGTGTGACAGAATCATCACATGTACATGAGTTTAGGTGTACTCATTATAAAACACAAGGCATGATTCTGTCAGTTCTAGAGTGATTTTTAAAACATACATTTTTAAATTAAAATAGAAAAGAAGATTGACAATGATTCTTTCCTAGAAGAGCTTGAATAGGAGACTGGTTTCCATGAGGGATGGGAGGGAGTCAGGGGAGGGGTGGGGGGGGAAAATTCTCTCTCTCTCTCTCTCTCTCTCTCTCTCTCTCTCTCTCTCTCTCTCTCTCTCCCTGGTTTCAGGACCATGGACAGTGACACGTGGGCCTCAATCCCAGTCCTCTAAAGCAGCATAGCCTAGTCCTATCTATGGTCTTCTAGGATGATGCACTGTATAGTCCAGAACTTCTGCTTTGGGTAGCAGTCTGGTTACATGGAAAGTCAATGTTTTACATTTGGTTTCCCCAAATCCTCAGAGAATTATCCACTCCAATCTGAGAACACATCTTGTTGAACAATGTTTCACTGAATCTGTTCCACACAGTTAATTCCATCTTTTGAAATATGGTAAAAACAAACATACACAAAAAAAATCCTAAGACCTTAAGCCAGTGACTACAAAAGAAATAAGTTTTTACTACAGTGCATAGAATTTAGGAGAAATTTAAGGCTAAATTTCTGACAAAATAAAGCCTGAAATCACTTTCTGAAATAAATTTATTTCCCTACCCATGAACAAGCTTTTAAAAGAGTTAAATCAAGCTCACATGGTTGGAAGCTCTCAAATCACATTGAAAGTTCTCATATACTAGCTGTAGATCTTCAAGTCTTTTCACTTCTTAAGTGAAATATTCTGATTCAAAAGACCCCAAACATCATGCACCCAGAAATTATATAGTTTAGGTTTTGTTTAACGAATTAAAATTCAGCTCCTAATTGCCACTGTATGAGATTTGTGATCTGCCAAAGATGATTCAAAAAGACACATTAGAAAGATTATTGAGAGGATTATAAAAAGATCTGAGCTGCTATTCTGGCTAGAACTATTCTTTGCTGTATGATTCTGTGGAATTCACTTCCCCTCTCTGGGCCTCAGTTTCTTCAATTGTTAGTTGAGACAAAAGACTGGCTGATTCTTTCAAATTCTAATATTTTCTGATTCCACTGAAAGTAAATATCTGGCTGACACAGCCTTTTCTTAGCCCAAGAGTCCAATAATTCAATGTAAAATCAGATGTAGAGAATAAGCACAGTTTGGGATAGGTATATAAAATGGTTACTGTAAACAGAGATGGAAAGATACATGTGATACATGGGTATCAGAATAACACAGAGGCCCAGCAGGAGCCCAGATGCAAAAATTCGCAGTGGGTGCTATGAATTCCACAGGCAGGCTGCCTGGAAGAGGAGCTTTACACACAGGAACCAATTAAAGCCCACTGACATGTAAAACCTCTAAGCACAGCCTTGCACCCTGACAGGAAGACAAGAGGAAGCCCTGTTTCCTAAGACATGTGAGGTTCTGATTATAACAAAGACTTTTATACACACTGAAGCAGTGGTGACCAGGGAGCCTCCTTCCCCTTCTGCTCCCTGATCTGTCCTTCTGCATGTGTATTTAAGTGTATATGTATGTGTGTGTGTGTGTGTGTGTACGTGTACATGTGCACATGTGTGCATGTATGTATGGTCTAGCTTCAGAAAACTCCAGACAAAGGCAGGAGGTGCTTCCAGGAGTAATTGTCTTCCAAAATAAGCATCCAAGACCTGTGGCTGTGGGTAGAAAAATCCAGTGGAGAATTAATATGTATAGTTTTCCTTTATTTTCTAACAAGGCAGAGACTGCCATTGAGTAGCCTATTTAAATATGTAACTCACAGATTAAAAAGTTAGTGTTATCTAGGACCATTTACTTCCTTTGTGCCAAACACCGTAATAAGCGTTATGTATGTACTTCCTTATTTACCACTTATAAACTTAAGGTCACTGCCTAATACTGACTCCATTTTACAAATGGCCAAACTGAGACTCAGAAAGGTAACAAGTACAAAATCTGAGTGTTCTTAAATAGCTGTCATGGATTCAAATGCGAAATAGTCTGATTCAAGAACTGCCAGATAAGAAGTGTTAGCAAGCACTGGGAATGGAGCCCCTGGTTGTTACTCTATATTTTCCAATATGAGGACATTATAGATCCAACAGTAGTCCAGCAGCAAACAGGTGAAAGCAACTTCTCCCAGGATATCTGGAGCTTTTAAAATGTGGACACTTAAAAATTTTACTTCTATTCTATTGCAAAATCTACTCATCCGTAATCCATTGCCCCAAGTTGTGACCCAATAGAACACAAGCACCTTAGGCAATTTATGTCCACCAGGCGCCAGTTTCATTATCTGTAAAATAAAATCCTGGACTATTAATGTGTTGAGCTCCCTTCTGCTCTATAAAAGACAATAAATAGCTGTGACTGCCTGACTCTGGGGAAGACAATTTTCAACATCCTGACTACAAGCACCTTGAAGGTAAATCTGATTTTCCCCTATTTTTGCAAAGCTAAAATCTGCTCCTTAAAACTCCTCTTTCAGTGAATTTGAGGGCACTATGGGAAACATAGGACAGGAAGAATTGAAGAGTGGAATATTACCCACTCTCACCTCTCTCCCCAGAGCTTACTCTGTACTCAGAACAACTTTCCGATTGCCTCTGTACCAAGTGCTTAGTGAACCATTAAATATTTCAAGATGTATGAGAGATTATTCCCTGTTCTCTTTTATCCTAATAACAAGCTGTTCTGTGCTCTCTGCCGAAGACCCAATGTTTTTGTCTAATTATTTGTGGATATGGTTTTTCTCTATGCCATGGGCACCACTGGAGAAAATAAAAGCAACACTGATCATCACGACACTTACTTGTGACTCTATTTTTTCTTACATAAGAAGAAGGATGGCTCATGTTTGCTGCACTGCAGTGCTAGCATGAAGACTAGTGTCTCTCTGATAGAAAGGATGGATTAGGGCTGGTTCTTATGAACGTCCTGAAAAGATGTCACTTGAGGAGTCCTCATTCACCAACCAGGAAATACTTTAATGTCAAAGAAACCTCTCTCATTCTGCTCCACAATTGGAGATTCTTCCCTTGGGTCCTTAATAAGTTCTTATCAAAATGCAATTGGGAAAAAGTAAAAAAGAAAAAAAGGCCAGAATTCAAAAGCTTTCCAAAATTTTTCTAAAATAGAAAATATTTTTCCAAAATAGAAAAACTATTGATAATAGCCTTCCTCAGAAAAAAGAAAGGGAGATCAATAATCAAATAAGTTTGGAAATGATGGTTGTAATCCATTACTAGAAAATATCCTAGCAGAAATCAACTGACAGCAGGTGAGAACAAGACAGATAGAAGATGAAGACTCTGTGATAGATCCCCGTTGGCCCATGGGAAGAGAGCTGTCCCCTGGCAAAGAAGTGTACCCTGAAAGAAAGGATAGAGGCTGAGGAGAATCCATAAACCTCTGACCAATCTGCTCCAATGACAAATCCCAGGGTCCTTACCCGATATTTCTTTTCTTGTTCAAATTTTTCTTCAAATTTCCGAATTTTCCGCTTGAGGCTCTGGATGTGCTTGGTGAGCTGGGTGATGGTCTGTGGCTCCTTGCCATCTCCACAGCTGCAGCGTGAAGAACTCCGAGGCCTGCATTGATTACAGGGAGGAAGGGGTATCAAAACAGTGCTCTTTCAGTAAAGAGTTCTGTTGATCTACAAACCAAAATTACTGGATTGTCAGAGAAGTTCAGAGGGAAGTTCACTATTTCATGAGGCTACTATAGTAGCAGTTGCTCATTAATGGAGACTCCTGATCACAAAACTCTGTTATGGGTGGATGTTTTCTAGGACTTTAGTGTAAAATATCAAAATATTAGTCCAAGAAATGCATTTTGTAAAGCTTAGAGGAGGCCAATTTAAGTCTAAAAAGAGACAGCCCTGTTGAGACCCTTTCCTCAGTAGGGTGTACAAGCCACATCTACCAACATTTTCAAGAAAGATTTAGATGAGTGATTAACTTTTCTTGACATAACAGGACTTTTTTCTTTAATATGATGAAAGGATGGACTCCTTCTCCCAGAATTACATACACCCTCTCACATGACACACACTTGCAATAGCAATAATTCACTAACTCTTTCAGGTCCATCAATAGATAGTCCATGGGCCCAGGATTAGATAAATTCAAGAAAAAACAACATGAATTCTGAGGGAGAAGTCAGGGATTTCCTGGGCATATTTTTAGCCAAGAGAGTCTTAATCTTAACTATACATCAAAATTATTTGTGGAACTTAAACATAAACAACACGTAGTTCCTCAATCCCAAAAGCAAATTCCAAATGGAATGGATAAGGGGCAAGCATCTGATTACACACACACACACACACACACACACACACACACACACAGACACACACACACAGTTTGGACGTGGGTCACTATTGTAAGCTACCACTTTTCTAGAATCTAAAAAGAAACGTAGATGGACAGCTCCCAAGTGTTCCCACAACTCATCCATCAATGTCACCACTGGACATGGAAAGAATATTGAGCTCATCAAAAATGATGTCTGATGTCTGATATGTGCATGTATATATGTTCAAACATGTGAGCCCCTGGCTCTCATGACCATTTCCTTTTGAGATATCAAGGTCTACAATAGCATCCCAACTGGCAAGTACACTAATTTTTGTCATTTATTGTTCCAGTCTTGCAGTTGCGTTAGGCAGGCATATTTGTGCTATTTCAGAAACACTTCATTGTAGTTTATAAATGTGGTATCTGAAAAACTGTGAAAGGAAGACAATAACAAAACAGTTTTCTTACATCATAAACTGCTGAGTGCTGGGTGGAGATGGGGCTGACTCGGGATCTAAATTGAATCTCTGGCTTTGGCTGAAGATGGAGCATCGTGGTGACAGCAGTGGGTTGTCACCATCAGTGATGTGATAGAGCAGCCTGCTGGTCCCCACAGACTGGAGGTCTTCTGGTGCACTGTCGGCCTCATTCTGCCCATCTTTATGGACTGGTGAGGGGTCTGGGCAAATAAGACAAATCATCAAGACTTAGAAGTGACAGAGGGCTTGAGACTGTCATGTTCCTAAATAAAGATCATAAACATTCATTATAATGCCTTGTCTCTTTGCCATTTCTTCCTTCTTGGGATATGAAAAGCTTTCAAAGTATTGTCATGTTTATTCTCACAGAACCTGGACAGAAAATATTACAAAGCTGCTAACAAAAAAGGAAACAAATGAGTTTGGTATAAGTCACACAGTCTGCACAACCCCAAACTACAAAAAAAAATCCCCTTTTTATGTCACATTATTTGCATAAGTCAGAGGGTATATTACAAAGTGTTAAAGCGAATAAAAAGAAAACAATAAAATGGGGCTGGAGCAAAAGATTATAGATTATGAGGAAGAAAGGGGAAAACAATAGCCAGTGAAGGAAGGGAGAGAAGGGAATAGGAAAAAGAGAGAGGAAAAACACTAAGAGGAAGAAAGGAGAGAGGAGTCCCCAGAAAGAAAATTATTCAGAAATCATCAAAAATGATGGAGAACTCTGCTTATCAACAAGGAATGATACTTAGAATATGCTAAATGGAAACCACAAATTTCAAAACAAAACAGATTCCATTTTATGTAAACACACAAATGTATGTGTACAAACAGATGCACTAAAATATCAGAGAAGTTATGTAGCAACTACAAAGTATGGTAGAATCAGGAATCATTCTATGTTTTTTCTCCAAAACTTTAGGTACCATTTTATTTCAGACAAAACAAAAATAAACCTGCTCCAAACCCTCTCCCCAGCTAGCAATCTCTGCCCCTGAATTCTCACTAGAACCAGCCCCCTTTTAAGTTAGCTTCCCACCTCACAATCAGTCCAGAAGGCAGGTACCCCTCTGCTATGGAAGTAAGGGCAGTGGACTGAGGCACAGCAGCAGGGGATCAGGTCATTAGGAAACTGAGTCAGGGGGCCAGAGATGGGGCTCTGCACCCTCGGCTCTGTACAGAGTTATTCAAGAAACAGCCCATTCTCCTTAAGTTTGCTCAGCAGACAAGTCAGGACCAGCCAAGGTTTTCTCTTTCTTACTACTTCTTCTCTAAAGAAAGTGGAAAACAAAAGATTTTCTGGATGAATAAGCAGAATCAGAAAATACTGCTGATGGATCTGCTTGTCCAAAATAAATACTTATCACAATTTGGTACCGGATGAATCTTAATCAGATTTAGAGTGGCTCCTTGTTCTCTAGAACTTGAAATGCAATTTGCTTTGTGTAACATCAAAGGTCTGATTAGGTTCTCCTGTGCTTTCAGTTAGCTTCTCCCTGGTGGGTTGTAGACTGGAGGGTAGATAACGCCTCCTATTTTGCCTCTGAAGCTCACTGACAGCCCAGTCACTGGCTGAGGCTGGTCTGAAATGGATGCGACGACAGAAGAGTTGGAGGAAGGCAAATGGCAGTGACTCCAGCCCAAGGCAAGGTGTAGTGGCGTGACACACATCACCACAGGCAAAACCCTTGCCATGAATAATTTACCCAGAAAACTCTGCAGTTTGGAAGGAGCCCTCAGAGTAACAGGAATAAGAGTTATTAACCAATAACTCACAGCATATAATATCACCTTCAAAATATACCAGCAGGTGTATGGGTTCCTCATCAAAACCTTTTCTTAAACCACTAGGCTCTAAGAAGAAATGTGTTTTATTTATGTTACCAGTTTCTTGGAAATATCTTCCAGAAATAATAATGGGGAAGAAAATTATCTTTAGCAGGCACCTGGGACAACTACATTTTTACTGAAATGGGAAAGGTCGGAGACCTTCAACCCTCAGCTCAGTTGTGGCCCTGGGGTGAAAACTAACACAGTCTCTTGTTGGCTGCTGCTTTATGATGCCAAAATGGAAATACTTGGGATCCTAGCCACATGACTGTGAAGCTGCGCCAGGAAAAGATCTCAGTTTCTGGAACCCATGGAGTCCTAAAATATAACTTTGTAGAATCATAGATCACTACAAATGGCTTTTTAAAAAACTGCATTGCAACAGTAATTCTAAACCTCCATTTACATGGCATCTGTTTTCCCTCGGGCATTTGCATAATTTACCATGTGGCCCAATTAACATCCTAACCTCCTTGCCTCCAATTCACTACTGAAGGAAGCTGTGAGCCAGAAAGATCCCAAAGCAACAACTGAAAAACAACACAGTCAAAAGCTGGTAATTTCGTAGAGCCTCAGTTCTTTGTCGAAACTCCCCATTTGAGCTGAGAAGGGGCTTAATTAAATCAGCTGACACATGCATATGTGTGCGTATTTGTGTAGACAGAATTATTGAGCTCTTTGCTCAGAAGAGACCAGTGTAGATTCAGAGCCAATGCTCCTGCTGTCCTGGGAAGAGTCCAGGCCACTGCTTCCAGACTCTACTTCCCAGTAAGGAGAAGCTGATGGCAATATTAAACTAGGGTGAAACCTTTGTTCCCTGGGGACACATTACTTTTTATTCCAAAGGAAGGTGCAGCTTGCCAGGGCTCATCCTGTGATGCAGTATGTTTTAGAGGAAAGGGTCTGGGAGCCTGGAGTCTGGTAAGCCTGAACTTTCTGTGGGGCTCCAACCAGTTTCCCTACCTCTCTTAGTTTTCTTGTTTGGCCCGTATTCCTCACAGGACTATGATAAGAAAAACAAAAGGAGACATTCTGTACAACGCTGTTTCTACACAGTAATCACACTTATCGACAGCGGGTGTGTTCCAACACTCCCGGTGGATGCCTAAAACCACAGAGCAGATCAAACACTACATATACTATGTTTTTTCCTATATATAGAGAAAGATTTGATAAAGTATAATTCATAAATTAGGCACAGTAAGAGATTAACAACAACTAATAATAATAATAAAATAGGGCAATTATAACAAGATACTGTAATAAAAGTTATGTAAATGTGATCTCTCCGAAAATATTTATTGTACTGCACTGTGGGCACCTGAAATTGCAGAAAGGGAAACCAGGATATGGGGAGACTGCTGTAGTCACGATGCTGTTACTTATGCTTAAAATTTTGTTAAAAGGCCAGATCCCATGTTAAGTGTTTCTACCTAATTAAAAAAAAAATTTACTTTGTATTTTCTAAAAATTTCTGTAACAAATAGAGATTAATTTTATTTAAAAAAAAAAAAAAAGGAAAACACAAGTTAATATTAAAATGTGGGGGGAAAAGTAAACTTTCCTGAGAAGGGAAGTGATAAAGCATGCTGGTGGCAGATAACAGAGGGCACAGGTTGTTAGTTTGGATCCCAGGCCTACCACTGGTTAAAGAGAGTTTGGAAATGTTGGACCTTTTTAAACCTCCATTTCTTCATCTGTTAAATGGAGGGAATAATGGTGCCTGCCTCACAAGATAAAATTATACCCCTATAAAAGTATTTTTTACCAATATAGTTTTAAAAAGTTTTTCAACCTACAGTATTTTTTTTTATTTAAGCTTCATCCTAAGTGATAGCCAAGAAGTCATAAATCTGATGTACTAGTTACATTTTTAAAAACTAATACACATTAAAATAAATTCATCTTAAAAGTAACAATGTTTACCCATGCATCCTTTATATAGGGTATTTGGTGAAATCTCAGGGTAAAGCACAGAGCTACTGAACACAGTAGCTATGAGAACAATTATTTTCAACAAATATTATTATTAAAATAAGGAAGTTGAATATTGCCTTCTCTTACTGAACACCAACCTCATTTGGAATCCCTACAGGGTTAATATGGGAAATAAGAACCAATATACCCCTCAACATGTTGTCACTAGTCTGAGTCCCTACTTATAAAAACATAACAATAATCATCATGTCTAATATTTATGAAGTGACTTACTATGTCCTCAATCTTATTCTGAGATTTTTTGCATGTATTTAATCTTCATAACAACCACATGCGGCTAGTAGTAATGTGTTCTCCATGTTAAATTCAGTAGGAAAGGTTGCATCACTAGGCTATCTCCATTCATGGAGAGTTTGACCAATGCTTGAAACAGAAGACTTTACATCTCTGACACTGGAAGCTGGAGTGTTTCTGGTGGCCCGCTCAGTCAGCAGAAGGAAACATAGAGCAGAAAAGGAGTTATCATCAGTGTGTGATAACTACTGAGATCACTTCTGCTCAGGCTGCAATCCCAAGCAGAAGCAAATGCTACTTTACAGAGGTTAAATGAGTTAGTCAGACTTAAGAATATCTTTCTAATGTGAATTTTAAAGCTATTCCAAACCTAAGTAAATCTCTATCTGCAAAAACTTGAGATGAGCTGCTGATTTGTAAAGCTGCACTCTTCGGTTTGCCTATCATGGTGGACTCATAAATAGCATTCAGGGACATTCCAAAATGCCAAACATCAGCCTTTGTTGGTTTCAAATGCTAAATAAACCAAAAGTATGTCCATGATTCTAATGAGGTTCAAGCCTCACCGTTCTCAACCAGCCTCTCTCAGGCAGACCACAGGGAGGATAATAGCATCTCACACACAAAAAGGGCCATAAAAACAAAGATGGAAAAAAACAACAAGAAAACATCTGATTGATATGTGATGGGTTCGGTTTTAGGTATGTTACATTTGAGTTACTGAGGCACTAAAGGGTTAGCTATGGCGGTAGGGGAGAGAGAGTATGTGTAAACCTGAAGTCATCCCAATAACCAAGGCTGAGAAAATAGATGAGCGTCCTTGGTTAGAGAGCACTAGAGAGGAGAAGCAGTATCATCACATCAGGAGGGAATGAGGGCAGATACAAAGGGACTCTGGACTGGGGAGACTGACTGAGCAGTGAGGAGGTCAGCACTCCAAGCAGTCCTGTGTGCCAGCTTCTGTGGATGGCCATTAGATGTGTTAGGGAGCTGGAAGGGTGGGAAATGTGTCCCCCTGAAAACAGGTCTGGGCTTCATAACAGTCACCATTCAGACCCAAGAGGCAGTTTGCCATGATGGATAAAAACACGAGCCACAGGCTCAGGAAGACCCAGATTCTTGTCCCAGTTTTGTC